GCAGGAGAAGGCAACAACGATAAAATACCAACGAAGCAAAACCATTGAACGATTTTTTTACAAAAATGCCGTTTTTTTTTATTCTTGTACATGTTCTTACCGCCATGGCTTTTGATTCCATTTATGTTATATGCAATAAATGTTCACACGGCTCTTTGAATTCAATACACATTTGATACATTGCAAAACTTTCATTCATAAAATGAGCAAGAAGACGATGTAATGAAAAAATATATACAGAAAACAAAAGTGTCATTGAAATTGAAGACACTGCATCAGCAATGCGATAGTTGGCTTGATGTATCATCATAAGCTTTAAAATCGCTATCGGTTTGTTTGTTTCTGACAAGCATAACTTAAGCAATGTTCTATCAACTTGAGTTAAGAAACAGTATTTTTCTTTTTGGAAAAATGTTTCAGGAAAATTATTTCTTCTTGGAACTGAGAGATTTTTCATAAGAATTTGAACGTGAATCCGAAGGCGTTATAACTCGAGTTCATGAGCTACGGTTTTAATTAAAATTCCGCCGTTGTAGCTCTTAAGATGTTCTTTGGAATTTTTTTTTATTGAACTCGTTTAAACTCCGATACATCAAGCATTACTTCCAAGTAAATTGGCAGTGCATTTCTGATTAGTGAAGATAAGAAGATTATGACATTAAGATACAATGACTGTGCTCACAAACTGTGACGACTATACGACTATTAGATTCTTCTAATAAGATTAGAATGAATGTTTAAGATTTTTTTTAAATTTTTAATTAATTACGTAACACACACCATAATTTATGTTGATCAAAATATGAATTATTGTATTGAATTGAATTAAAAATGGTGAACACTCATTGAATTAATAATGATGATATAAGTTTAACTTTTTGAATGGTTTCTTTTATTACTAGCTTTCTTTTTCTCTCATTAAGCATGGTAAAAGGTTTCTCTCCTCCACAACAGAATTTTACAGAATTCTACCGAAAAATCAACAAGAGAAAAATGGTAGTGTGTACGTTGCATTTTCATTTCTTGAAGCTCAAAATGTATTTACCATTGCAAACTATATTTTCACTACAAACCATAAATTTTTTTTTAAATACTTCCATCTCGGTTCACGGTTAACACGAATGAATTCTGGTTGGAAGAAACAAAGCCACCACCCAACAAATAAATTTTAATCGAGTGCTTGCATGTCGTGTGTACGACTTTTTATATCCCAACACTAAAAATAATGTTTTGGCTCATTTATTTTCAAGCGAAGTATTTAATTTCATGTGTGGCCATTATATTCGGCATTGCTTTTTCGCACACATAAATCTGTATGTTTTTCCTTTTGTACGCCAGATTGATGTACATAATTTTGCGTTCACATATTTATATATACTACTTATCTCTTTGGAGTTTGCAAGTTTTCTCTTTCACTATGCCATGCTGAATACAGCCAATGACTGTTGTAACATGTAGAAATTGTGTGGACGCATACATATATGGCGTGTGTACGCGTTTAGATCAACGGAAAAGATTCGAAATAACATTCGTCACGAAATGTGTGTTGTTCAATGAGTTTATCTTAACTTTGAGACCAACGACGCGCTCGCACGCAAATGTTAAAATGAACATGAGCGCGACACGCTCTCACAACTTTTATTCTCTCATTTTTTGTTTCATTTTTCTTCATTGTGTATACACATATAAGCTCTTTTTCATGTGCAAATTTCCAATTCCGTTTAATGAATGCGGAAGTACCATGATTTTGCTGTTATTTTTCCCTTCTATCATTCTCTCGCATAATCTTTTGGCATCATCATATTTTCAGTTTGTTGTACCATCACCAAGTACCAACATGAATTCAATTTTATTGATCAATAATAATAAATACCAACAGCAAAATCAACAACACACAAAAATAATATAAATATTGATATTCGTCATAAAATTGGAAAAGTTTCTCAAAAGTTTCGACGAAAGCATAGATAAAATCGACGAATGGATCGCAAATGCTTACATTGTTTTGTGCAAATGGCATGGTGAAAATAACTATGATTTTGTAAAGCTTAGATAGATAAAAAAAATGTTAGAGAAAATCGAATACATATATGCAAATTGTTAAGATAAGAAAATCATCACGCCATTTTAAAATAAGACCAAATGAAAGTTGTTTTTTCCTTCCCGAAAACTTTTTTTTCACTTAGCTACCGTGTGTTTTTGGCACCTTGGCATGCAAAGAGCTCAATACAAACATTACCCATCGTAATAGGAACAAAAGTCGAAACAATTTCAACATATTAAAGCCTGATAACAAGTTTCAAGCTAAAAATAGTCTGTGCTAATTACATTGAAACGAATGAATTGGAACAATGCACACACAGAAAAAAATTCTCCATCTGCCATTTAATTTTCCGTTTCTTTTCTATATTACTTGGGTTATGATGCAATTCGAATGTGCAAACTTGTCTGAATCAAATATTAAATATTTCATACGGTGAAGTACAAAATGTATTCGAGTTGTACGGAAAGACACTCTGTGTTTTATTCAGCAAAGCAATTTTCTTTATTGGCGAGCTTCATTATGCAAACGCGATAAAATGAAAAGATTCAAAATGAAAGATGCACAACAAAAATTACATAATTTTCATTTGAATATATGTCAAAACAAACTCAAAATGTCTGCAGAAATAAAGAAAGAAAAATGTGAAACTTTTACATCAAATGAAAGTAAAATGAAATTCCCTAGGTGTATTCTACATTCTTGTTCTTTAACAAAAAAAAATCGAGAAGAGTTGCCGGTTTTCTAAAGCGTATCCATATTATCTTGTTAAGTTTTGTCTTAAAACAATGTTGAGTGATTAACATATTTCTCAAAACTAAAATGATTGAATCACACCGAAGACAAAGAAAACGACGAGAAATGCACGAATAAATGGCTGAAGAGGAAAATAAATGAATGTTAAGCCAGCATGAAATGCTATTGAATTTGTTTCCAATTGGATGACAACAAGATAAAACTTTAAGTTGTCGTTCGAGATGCACAGTCGTCGTTGTCATGTTTTGTCGCTTAAATATTCAAACTGTCAGTGTTTGGAAGTGTGTGCGCACAATGTGAAAAAAGAGAGCAAAACACAAATGATGACAATATGTATTTCTTAGAAAATATGGGTTGTGTGTATTCATTTGTTCACTTAACGATGTCTTCTCAATCCGATCCCATTGTATCCAATACATTGCATACCTTTTAAATCACTGCATTAGCATTACATCTCACCCCCAACTTCCAGCTGAACCGATAAAATGTAAAACGATTGTACACTTTTCTGATTTATCTATTTTATCTTTTATCCAGTTGAGATTTGAAAATAACTCCAATGAAGCATCAGTGCGTCACCCTCTGTCATACTGTGTGAGTGTGTGCTTGTGTGTGTGTATGCGAACGAGATTTAGACAAGCACGGTTATCGATGATAACAACGGTGTTAGTTGGCCTGCCTCTGTTTCGTTTTGTAACATGCGGCAAACATTCATTTATTTATTCGATATACCTAAAAGATTTAACCCTTATCAAGGATTAAAATTAATGATGGGAAAATGAAAATCTTTCTTGTATTTTTCGATAAATTTTTCATTGAATTCAAATGCCGTATATTTAACTTTGTATTTGAGTACATCAATAAAAATCACGCGTATCATGTCTCACATTAAACTCACATTTTCCTTTTTCGAACTTGCTTTGTTTGTTTTCTTGCTACTCTCGTCGTAGGCTTGGATTGGTTTTTTTCGGTGCTTTAAGTTTTGAAAGGTCGTTGTAAACAATTTTTTTAACTTTTTCATATTTCGAAAATGTCGAATAGAAAAATACATAAATGTGCTGTAAACTTTAACTTGGTTCTTTGCGCTATTCGTTTGCATTACAAAAAAAAACATAAATGTCAAAGAAAACCAAGAATAACCTTCACAGCTCGCTGCAACTTATTTGGCTATCGTGTTAATGTTAAAAACAAACGAAGATATCAACAAATGAAAGAAAAATAAAAAGAATATATATATTTCAATTAATAGCAGACCAAAAAACGAAACGAAACCCGTTCATCCGTCGTCATCTTCACCAAACAGTTTATTCAATTTATCAAAGTAATATGTTGACTATAATTAAAATTAGATATTGTTTGCTAATTAATGATTTGCCTTTATGCTATCGTGTCTATGCCATTGCGAAAAATGAATTCAACAGAGAAAAAGTTTTCTATAAATTATTCGCTATGAAAATCGAAAATCATCGAAAAACTTTTGGACATTTTGTTTGTACAGGGCGTAAAACAGTGAAGAAACTTGAACACATCTTCAACTTGAGTAACCGACAAAAAGAGTATGTTTCTTTCAAAGAGAGAATGAAAAATACAAGACGGAGCATAAGAACAAAACTTGAAAAACTTAATTTTGTTTGTTACTGAAAACGAAACTTCACTTAAAGTGCTGTGTTTTGTTTATCTTAAGCGAAAGATAGAAAGAGAACCAGAGATTGGAAAATGAGCAAGAGATCCGAATCGGATCGAACGATAGAACATAAAACCTTTTTGCCCCTTTTCCGATTATAAAAATTATTACGTAAAATGAAATTTGCCGTTATTTAATAGATAACCGTATCGATTATTGATCAAATCATTTTCAATCGCAATCCAAACACACACACACCATCTGGTCATCATTTAAATTGGGGACGAAACGTGTAAAAATAAGGATAATACAGGGTGTGAGCTGTGAGGATTCAGTTGAATTGTTCGATGGATAGTATCCATTGGATACACGACAGTGTATGTCTATATAGTATCCATATCCAATGTACTTTTGAATGGCTATTGAAATGTACCGTTTCCGACACTCGATTGCAAATATTTTTGTGAAAGTAGGTCACACATGTACATATCCAAATAAAGAAACACACACACACACACACATGCACAAAACAACATTTAAACATTTTAACTTATGGCATTTTTTTCTCTATTTTTTTAGATCACTGCAGTTCGAGGGAAGAAATTGTCAGCATTTGGAGTGTTTGCAACTAAAACGAACATACATTGATTCGTTACGCTTAAAAGTTTAGAAGAAATACATACACTAACTTGAGTGATTCAAAACTTTAATGAAAATAATAAAAAAACGTTAGTTTCTAGACGATAAACTTTGTTGTGAATACGTTCTGTGAACAAAAAAAAAACACGAAAGACAGAAATAAAGAAAGACAAGTCAGAAAAATGTGTGAGACAAAAATGTCTGAATGTTGTGGAAGCGCTCTTTAGAGTATTTTAAATGTATTTTAATTATGTGCCTAGGTGAAATATATCTCTGTAACCCCACAAAATATTAAATGGAAGAAGAAAAAAAACCATTGTAAGAACATAAGTTACCTGCAATTGTTGGTGCATTCGCAACAGTTTTCATTTTAAAAGTGTTATTGCAGTAAAACGAACGAGATTCGTTTGTATGACTCTCATTCCATTATGGCCATACATATGATGTACGGTTAATAGTCATTGTTTTTGAAAAGCTTATTGTTGGCAACGTACCGATCTTCGCACCGAATAAAAAACATACACACACACACAAACACAACGATTAAGAGTAGAACGTTTTGGCGAACAAAGTAAAGCATAACCAAAAAGGACAACAATGCCGAAGGCAATCCGAATAATCATTGTAAAAGCATAAAATACGTTCAGCCTGCTGCTATTGCTGAATTAAATAGAAGCCTGAATCTGGATAGTTGTACACAAGCATCACACCATAATATGTTGTAGAATTTCAAAAGCCAAAGCGAACAGAGCAAACAATTCCCATTTGCAATGGCAAAAGGAATGTAACGCATGTGTAAATGACTCTCCGCGTATGTGTATGTATATATAGATATATATTTCAGTAGAAGAGTGTCAATGGCATCGCATCCAAATGTGAAATAGCAAATAATAACAATAACAATAACGTGCTATTATAACGGAGCATAATAACAGTAACAATACATCTATATTTTCTATTTGTGTGTCACACAATTCACGTGCTTTGCGAAATCTGGATTCACGGTTTCTCCGCGCTCGCGTTTAGTGTGCACGGAACGCTAAAAAAATACGTATTTTTTTTATTATACATCCGAATGAAATGAGCCAGTAGCTCATACAGACAAACAAAAAGCCGTGAAATAAAAATCCAAGTGTGACAAGCGAGACAGCGATAGAAAGCGCGCGTGTTCAACTAAGATACGGATCTTGAATCAACTAAATCTTCAAATATTCTTTTTTTTTTCATTTGTTTGCTACAAAAAAAAGGGAACGAAGAAGATTTCACGATTCAAATATGCATGCGTGCCATTACAGCCGCCACCACATCTAATAATACGATATAAAAGTAGCAAAAATAATAAGAGAAAATTATAATTCAAAACTGAAGCATCATTGTACGTGGCAAGGCACGCCCGGGGAAGCATTTCTTAGCCGCTCTCTTTTCGATCCGTGTGTATTACAGTAAATGAATGAAACTACTTGGTATGCCAACAGTAAACGAAAACATTGCGTATGTCGTACTTAACATGGGATAATAGAGAAAAAAGAGAGAAAATTTTGTAGAAAAAGAAGTCAAGCAAAAGCTATAGCACAATAACAAACTTACAAAACATGTATTTATACATGTAAACATTTATAGTTTTGCACAAAATGCAGTATCAACATGAGAATAAAAGCATCGGCGTAAGAAAGTTTTTCGAAATCTGAACGTTCAACTTAAGTCAAAAAGCAGCACTTATACACATACATACACACACATCTAATAGCAAGTAGATTTAAATTTGACTCTGTGTGTTCAGGTATCGTGCAGCCGCCCATGTTAACACATCGAATATATATACCCATGAAAAAAGTGCTAAGAAAATGATAATTTACCGCCGCAGTTAAATGAGCAGGCATTACTATAACATGCAGATTATTCGTAATGATTGCAGTATATTAGATTTGATGTGAATTTCGTTCGTTGTTTTTATCCCACTGTTTTTTATTTTTATTCTTTTCATTCATTTTATTTTGCGCCACTGTCATTATCGAAGCCAAAGCAGCATCTCCAGCAAATTGCTTATTAAAAGCTCATTTTTCTTTGTTATGTTGTAAATTTTTTTTATCATATTTACGGTTTTATGAATTCAGAATATGACACTTTTGTGTGTGGTGCTTGTGCGCGCCCATTTTATCTAATCTTGCGGATATGTGTGAACATTATATATAATATACATTTATATTGAGCTAGAAAGCGAACTAAAGCCAGAGGTATTAAACCTGTTTCCGTGCGTACCGAGATATCAGTAAGAAAAAAAAAGAAGCGAGAACAACAACCATAACCCACATATTAAGCTAATAATAGTATATTAAATAACACAACAATAATGATAAAATGTTCAAAATAATTTGTTGTGAGTGAATATAGACCCGGTGTCGGATAAGAAGTGAGAAATTATTTATGTCAGTGTGTTTATAATCAGTGTAGAGTCATACGCTCGTGTCTGTGTGTGTGTTTATGTGAGGTGAAATCACGCACCTTCATCAAACAAACACCACATACGTATATACACCCCCAAAAAAGAAACCGATTACATTTAATCAGAATAAAGTAGATAATAATAAGGCAAACGCAATTTGCGATTGTGTTTCAAATAAAAAATAAAATGAAGACCTGTTCACGGAAGAGTAGTTGTAGAGAATTACAGCGGCATCATCGCATCCAGTGCCCACCGTCGTCATTGCCACCATCATCTTCTTCACATCATCATCGTCATCATCACCATTTCAAATCTCGTACAATGAGCTTCAAAAAGAACAGCATCGGTGCGACGAAGGTCTTAGTCAATGGTGCCTGGATTATATGGATTTACTTATTTGCCATTTTTATTCGACTAGAATATGTTGATGCCAAAATAGGTAAGCTAAACCAATTCAAATATATATGTATTCAAACAATACTATTTACGTTCCATTCACAAAATATTTATACATATTGCCAATAATCCCATGAATGATACGGACATTCAGTGCCAAAGAGAATGGAACATTCCATAACATAAACATAATTAGTGCACACGGAGATAAACATAAGTAACTGACTGATATGGTTAACTTCCAACTTAACTTGGTTCAAATTACATCACTTATGCGCCCATTGCTACTGCTCGTCGAATCTTATGAAAATCACATGATTCTCCATATTCATGGATATCGTTGAATGTGTGCTAGCAACCTTAGATATATGATAACAGAAATATGCATATACGTATACAAATACATATCAGATTGGAAATGCGACCAACATTCTGCTAACGCTCATTTTTCACTATCTCCTTAACCTTATATACTAAATATGCTGGCGATAGCAAGCACATAATATACATAATTCCTTTTACTAATTTGTGTATTTTTTTTCTTCTTCTTTCATTTTATTCCATCAATAATAATAATAATATATCAAGTTGCCGTACAAAGACAAAGACATGAAATTTAGTTAACAAACAATTGTTTTTGAGTGTTAATTCGCTTTTTCTTCTTCTAAATCTTCTTCTATGTTTCTGAAATCATGAGTTCAAACGCAGTTATATTTATATAAAAAAAACCTGCTTGTGTAAGGAGGAAACAACAATAGTAATGTAATTTCAAAAGCTAGATTTCCATTGCATTTTCCTCCCACCATTTTTCGTAGGATTATCGTTAAACGTATTCTCACTATTTGGCGTTTAAGATACGCAGTTTTAAATAGAAACCAAACAAATGAATGGAACTATCACATGTAATCTAGATTTATAATTCAATCACTTTTCCGCGCAAACGTTGTGTGTAAGGGGAGAGTATTGCAATCTGTCAACATTCCAATACACCCCAAAAACGTGCTTTTTACACGTACTCGATTCGTCTACACCTTATTCCTATTTATATAACTAAACAAACTTCAATTGAAATCGACTGTAAATTCTTCTCTCTTCTGACAATGGAACTATGATAGAGATAAATTTGATTAACACAAATGCGTATGGACCATTGTGCGGAAAGGCTTATCTTACTGCTTTAAGCATTTTCATCGGTGGGTGCTATTTATTGAAGATTCTATGGATTTTCTGAAACAGAAAATTCTACGAAGCGATATCATCGAAATGATACAGCTCTAGTGAACTATATGACTAATACACAGGAGCACACTAACTCCGACTCTGTGTGCCCGTATGTATTGCATATTCTGCATTCAGGCGCACACGCATACACTGAATCGGAGTCAGTGTGTTCCTTTGTACTATTACGTTTGCAATACAGCTGAATCGGTTAGAATATTCGTGAGCTCAGGAAATTTATTTAAGTAAAAGAGCAACATGTTCATATAAAAAATGTATGGGAACGTTACAGTTTTATTTCGACAAATTTCTTGAGGTCACGAATATTCTAGCCGGTTCAGCTATATAGTTCGTTCGAACTGTGTCAACACAGAGTAACAACAATCGGCAATGTATTTAATAGGTGACGTCTTGGTGGATTCTTCAACAAAAAATTTGTATTGAAAGTACACCGCCTTTTTATTTTTATATGTGTGTTTGATAATAATCATTATGCGCTAGCAAAAAGAAAATTACGAAGAGCTTATGCGTTAGTAATGCTATTGATAAATGAACAAGTGGTGCATAATCATCAAAAAAAAGTGGTACGCTCTTCGTCAACTACAATTTTATGCATAGACATTTTGAATATGAATCGCTTACAGGCGAATCTGTGTATGCATAATGTGCGTATTGCCTGTGTGCGTTGCATATTTTTTGAATTTGAAAAATGATGATATAACGAAACAAGCTGATAAAATTAAGCAAAAGCTCATTCAAACCAGAGACAACGAAAAAGGCAATCGAAAGCAAACTGTATGTAATGAGTGAACCGGAAATGGGCAAAATTGTGGAAAAATAATGGGAAAATTTTGTTATATATCAACATTTAATGAGATATATTTTACTTTAGTCGAAAGCCATTCAAAATCCATGTGTCAACCTTCTGGCAAATGAGCATTTGGCCTAGATGGGTGACTCTCTATTTCTCTCTTTTCCCTTCCAGCTTTTCTCTCATTTTTTTTTTTGTATTCCGTTGACATATTTATCGCATTAAATGAAACTCACATTGAAAATTACTCAAACATACTTGGAAGCATTTGCCAAAACAAGATTTTAAATTTAGACTTGATTTCTTGTTCTCTCTTCTCTCTACACTCACTGGAAAATAACATTTAATATGGTTACCACTTTTATTTTTCACATCGTGGCACATTCGTTTTTGTGTCTCATGGCAGTCACATGCACATCAATCGTATGTGTTGTACAGTTTAATCATGAAGCGTTTGTAATTTAATCCAAAATCTATCCCATCAGTTCAGTTCCAAGAGAATTTCATTTCACTTAATTTTATTTGATTTTTACTTGCAGTTGATATGTTCTCTCTTTTTTTTGTGTTATCAAAAGACAAATTTAACAACAGCTAAAGTACCAACAACAAAATGTTCACCCATTATCTCCATTATGTGCGGGAAATTTTTTCACCATTATACAACCCGAATGTTAAAAGTTAAATGACTACAATGTGCATGAGTAATACAAAAGCAAATTGTTTATACTTTATTTGAAAGAAAAAAATTCATTCACATTTAATCAGCTTTACATTTTAACATGAAAACATAATGTAATAGCTTGAGCGCATAGTCAAGCAGACCGCATGAGAATTGCGGTGTCAAAATATCGTGAAAAGGAGTAATGAAAACCGAAAATGTTTGCGTAACACAGATATCTCTTTCTCTCACACACGCACAGAGACTATTACAAATTAAAATGAAAACTTATTTATTTTATTCCTGTCCATCAGGCAAAATGCCCACAATGCAAAATACGAAAATAATTAATGAATAATAATAATTCGACGCTGCTGAAAATAATGAAAATGTGCGCTTAACAAACATGCATATAATCATACCAAAAGGTAGTAAAAATCCGCATATATACTATACTGTATATATAAAAATCTCTATATATAGCGAGAGAGATTTTTTGTTTCACATTCAATTCACTCTCTTACATTGGTTTTGTTTGCATTCATGCAAGAATGAAGAGACAAAGTACAAACGGATAGAAGAGAAAAAAGACCGAATCTGTCATTTAAATAATCATATTATGCATGTAAACGGAACAATTTATCGCACAAAATATTTCGCGAGATATTTATTTGAAGCAGCACAATTTTATCTACACAGAGAGAAAAGAAATCGGTAAATATTTACTGACTGCGTTAAATTACATGAGCTTGTGTTGATTTTCAGTTCAAAATGTCTCAAATGTTCTCTCTTGTATTTTACCACAGCTAACGAATATTTACCACACGCTATAATCGTGAAATCGCTATATTCACAAATCGCTCTGGCCCGCATTTCGTATTACGTAAAAGTCAAAATGTCACATAAAATATTATTCAATTCAGAAAAAAAGATCAAAAACTAGAATCAAAAACTTTGTGTTGGATTGACATTTTTCACGTCAAAAGATGAACCTTGTTTTAAATTACAAGTGGATATAGCGATTATAGCGTGTGGTTAAGATTAGATGTGATAAAATCCAAGGGAAATATTTGAGATATTTACTACTGAAAATCATCACAATATTAAGATTATGTAGTTCAACTCAATCAGTAAATATTAACCAAACATTTTTCTGTGTGTGTATATATATATTTATCGGATGACGGTTTGAACGACAAATAGAGCATAATGCAGACAAAATAATACACGCTATACGCGCACATCATTGCTCCACACCATCCAACAACGAAAAAACGCATTTTTGCATCCGTAATCTCATTTTTATGTGCGCGCGTATATGTGCATGCTTATCAACTTTGGACAAAAATTGCAATGACTTTTTCGAATAACGTTTAGACATTACCATTTTCATCAGAGAAAGAGAGGGCGAGAGAGTGTAAAAAGATGATTGTGCGTTGAAGATAATCAGATTAAATTCTCTACGTAGTTTTTTGTTGTTGTTGTTGTTGGTTTTGTTGCTCGGGCATTCAATCTCTTTCTATTTTTACATTTTGCAGCAGTATTTTTTTTTGCCATGCACCCAGAGTAAAATTGTGTGTCTTGGATGATGAGAGACATTGCAAAATTACATTGATACCATCATACATACCTGACTGATGGGTTCGTCTCTTTATGGTACTTTTTTTTCTTCGCACAGATTGCACAGATTTCGAATTCTTTCTATTTATGATACCATGTCGCCGTTGAGAAAGTGGTACTTTTTTCGTTAATGTTGATTAAAAGTATGAATATGAAATGATTATTTTGAACAATTTTGATAGCAAAAAAAAGAGAGAACAAGTACTTTTGGCCAATGTAAAAGTTTTTGATGTAGCTTCGGATGGTAAATGCAAGCACACCAAATCTGTATGTACATGTAATATACGTTGCCATCATCGAAATGTAACCCCGAAAAAAAGGATAATATCAGAATACTTGGTGAACATGCAATTGGTCCCAAAAGAATATTAGCTTTCTCCAATGTGCCTATTCCACTATTTTTTAGTGTAGCATTCTCATCCAAATGGTTATGAAACTCTTTCCTTTTCACTCTCCATTCATTCATGTATATATGGTTAGTTGGTTTTTTCTGCTCACTTCAACAACCGGCCTCATGTAGAACGACCATCATGCACATCACACGACAAGAGAGAAATGTGAAAAATTCTCTCAGACGAGCAAGAGATCCACTTTGCATATATGCTTACTCCAAATATTTATACTCATTTGCACGAATCACTGAAACCGTTTAACTGTGTTAACCCGCAAAAAAAGATTTGCTGATTTTTTTCTTCATCCTTTTTTTACGTAATCAAAATGAGTACAATTTTTTTTT